GAAGATGGAGACCTCACCTACGAGTGGACACACTGCGTAGGACTCCCCAGTTGCTGGGGAAAGGTTCTCCAGATCCTTGGCTGTGATGGGGCTCCCCGGCTGATGCACGGATCTGGGTGATGATCAGTGTTTGGGCAGCTGGTGATGGATCCTTCTGAATCGCTCTGCTGTCTCTTTTCTAGTGATGATGGGCTGCATTGCCCTGTTTAACTCTGCACATTGCTCATTCTTCTCTTGCCCTGTTTTAAACTAGAGTGAAATAAGTTTGGTTTTGTTGTCAAGTTGGTGTCTGTGTCCTTTTTGCTGACCCCGTCAACTGGCAAAACACAGGGTCAGGTCCTGACAGCAGGAGCAGTTTCTGGGCTCTCCAGGGGAAGTTCTGCTCTTGCTCCAGCCTCACCAAGATGCCATCTCCCTACAGTGGGGGGGTCCCTGGGTAACTCAGGGAGCAACCACACCTACTTGCCTTGTAAGAGACCAGAGACCCTCTCTGTGCCGGCGAGCACAGAGCTGCCCACTTCACCTGGGACACCCTCTGCGTGCTCCCAGAGAACCTACCCTGGCATTCATGGCCTTGTGGTTTTTCTTCGTTTTCTTCAGGAACTGTTTCAGGCTCCCTGAGGACACATATTCTGTGATGAAGATGACCTGGGAAAGAAGAGAGGTGTCAGCTTCCCAGGCTCCCTGCACAGCTGGCAGCACGCAGCCCACGCCGGCACCGCAGGCGGGTGAGAGCGGCTGCTGGCACCAGTGTCCTGGGGAAGGAAGGGGAGTTTGGGGGAGCAGGGTGAGGAGCAGAGCTGGGACCCCACTGGGCTCCCACTGGCATCCCTCCCCCAGCCTGGGGACCCCCCAGACACTTGGTCTCCCCGAGTCCTCCCTACCCTCGCCTTTGAGTCTTTCACATCCAGCCAGTATTTGTGAAGCTTTACGATGTTGGGGTGATCCACAAGCACCAGCTGCTCAAACATGGTCTTGATCTTTTCCTGTGGGCAGAGAGGAGACAGGTGAGGCAGCAGGTCCTGAGACGTGGCAGGACACCTCTGAGAGAGAGGGAACTCTGCTTTTCCTGGAGAAAAGGAGGCTGAGGGAGACCTTCTGGCTCTGTCCAAGTTCCTGCAAGGAGGGTGGAGAGAGGTGGGGGTGGGTCTGTTCAACCAAGGACCAAGGGACAGGACAAGAGGAAATGGCCTCAAGTTGCTCCAGGGGAGGCTGAGATTGGATCTGAGGAAAAACTTCTTCACCAAAAGGGTTCTCAGGCATTGGAACAGGCTGCCCAGGGAGGTGGTGGAGTCACCTTCCCTGGGGGGATTTAACAGATGGGTAGATGAGGTTCTGAATGACATGGGTTAGAGGTGGAGTTGTCAGTGTTGGGTTCATGGTTGAACTTGATGATCTTAAAGGTCTTTTCCAACCACTACGAATCTGTGATTCTGTGAACCTGGGGCTGGTTTTGGGGTACAGAGGACACATGGAGCTGTTTTTCTGAGACAGAAGCCAAGGGAAAGCACAATGCCACGAGGACAGGAGCACAGCATGACTGCTGACCAAGCTGTGCTGCTGCCCATGAACAGCAAGGATCGGTGCTGCCACCCATGAGGGGGCAAAGGACGATCTCAGGGGAGGAGGGCACTGTCCCCAACCCCGCCGAGGAGGGATGGCTCACCTCATGTGCTTTGAAGGCCTTCTTGTCGGTGAAGAGCAGCTCGTTCCACACCACCTCCACCCCCTCCTCTGTGTCCATGGCAAGGAAGGTGCTCTGGATGCCCGGCATGTTCCCCTGATTCACCTGCGAGGCAGAGGAAGGTGTGAGACAGCCCGGCTGCAACCCTGTCCACGGCTCCCACCCCACCAGCAGCCCCACGCAGAGGAACGTGGGGCTGCTACAGCTCCTGCCGAGGACTCCAGCCCACAGGAGACTCTGGCCAGGACACGGTGAGTGGTGCAAACCCCCAGCTCCTCTGTTCTGCCCACCCAGGAGCTGAGGCATCGCAGCAGCTGGCACCGGTTCCCCAGGACATGAGGGCACAGGAGGAGCCAGAGATTTGGAGCAGTTCCTGTGCCAGCCTCTCTCGACTCTTCCATCCCAGTGAGAAGCTGGTGGTGACAGTCACACAGACAGGGGCCCCCACGTGGACCTCACTTCCCAGCAGCTGTGGGGGAGCAACCCACACCCACGGCTGATGGTCACAGTCACGTTGGACAGGGCAAATTAGAAGGTTCAGACAAACCAAAGCCACAACATCATCTCTTTTAACATCCTGAGGAGACTGGGGGCAAGCCCCCACA